GAGTGCCATGGCATCATGCTCACAGCAACCTCCAACTCCTGGGCTCAAGCGAGTCTCCTGCCTCAGCCTCCCAAATAGCTGGGACTACAGGCGCCCACCATGATGCCCGGCCATTTTTTGGTTGCAGTCATTGTTGTTTGGCGGCCGGGGCTGGGGATTTGAACCCACCACCTTAGGTGTATGTGGCTGGCGCCCTAGCTGCTTGAGCCACAGGCGCTGAGCCTCCACTTACTTTCTTAAGAAGTATTAGCTGTCTGTAGAGGAGATGGAGCTGGCAACCATTGAGGTGGACCTCACCCACCCCCAGGGCAGTTGAGGGGACTGAAGCCTGATCCTCTGATTGTACTCTTTTCAGGGCTCCTGTATTTTGGAAACTTCAAGACTTAGGACTTTATATAAATATAATATCTTTTGCCTAAGGGTTCTGCGTGTTCCTCTCTGCCTCCTGTGGTTTAGTAGGCTGATTTTCTCCTTATGTTGAGAAATAACATATTTCATCCAAAAAATAACAAATCTGTTCATGTTAACGCCCCTGCTTGGAAGCCTTCATTGGCTTCCCCTTAGGACGAGGAGCGTTCTGACTCCATTGCCTGGGAGAAGAGGCCTTGCACAATCCCACTCCCGCTTCCTCTGGCCTCCTTGCTCAGTCCCAGTTATCAGTCGGGAAGGGCTGGGTTATGCTGTCCTCACAAGCAACCCTGACATCTCAGTGACTTAACCCAGCCAAAGTTTATTTTGTGTTCTGGCCCATGCCTGTTGTAGGTTGGCAGGGGAGCTCTGCTTACTCTAGTCACTCATGAACTTGGGCTGAAGGAGCCTTCCCCCTGACAGATTTTCACAGCTGTCCTAGCTGGGGGTGAAGAGCCCATCACATCATAACCCACCTGGAAGTGGCTCGCATCACTTCTGCTTAGACATGATTGGCCAAAGCAAGTCACAAGGCAGTGCCTGACTTTAAGTCTCTGATCTCACCAGGAATGTCTGGGGAACAACTCTAATAACCCTTTCTCTTTCTGTTCACCAAATGTTTGGTCTGCTCTCTTTCTTGCAGCCTAGGTGGAATTCCCTTCCTCTTTCCTCCAGGGAAACAATGGTAGAGACCCATCCAGTCACAGCATCAATATACTTCTTGGGCTTTCTGGGACTGGGCAGAGGACTCAGCATCTACACCCTCGGTATGTACGTGAGACGGTGACAGTAGACACTTCGTTTGGAAAGGGAAGGAGTGGAAGACGGCCGTAGACCCTTGTTTACTGAGCTCACATTCTGAGGCCCTCCCCATCCCAGTCCCTGATTAGACCTGACTCTGCTGCTCTGTCCATTGTTTCCCATGACCCCGGATTTGCCCTCAAAGAGTCTTCCTTATCTGCACCTAAATCACGTGTTGGGAAATACACTTCTGAGTAAGCTTTTAAGAATTGGGGGATGCAGAGCGATGTTAATTCTTGAATGTGCGTAGGTAGGCTTCTGGTCTCCCTGCTTGCAGGTTTCGTGTGTCGTAGCCTCAGCCACCGTTCTTCTCCACACTTACTTCTCTGGTTTGCCACGTTTCTCTGCTGCTTGCTCTCCTGCCTGCTGAGCCCTGTGCCTCTCGCACATTCTCACCTTCTCTTGCTCTCAGCTTGGCTTTGAGTGCTTTAGGCTTATTGGGCTTTGGTGGGAGAGACACACCTTTTCTGCCTTTTCCAGAGCCATTTGTCCCGCTGAAAGAATATGCTGGGGAACGTTTCACTTTATCCTGAGCTTTGAACTTTGACTCCATCCTTACTCCAAGGCAGATTTTATTCAAGGCCATTTCTTGCTAAAAGCATTTCTCGATTTTATATTTTGCTAGATGGGATTGAAACACAGTTGCCTTGTCCAACCCTCAAGTCCATGCACTTGCAGATTGTTTCTATTTCATTTCATTCCTGGTTACAACTGAGCTTATCTCAGAATAGCTAGTAATACATTGTACCCCACATATACCATGCTACTCACATTCTGGTTTAGTTCATTAGGTTCATGATCTGCCCTCTACATCATCACAGGTGATCAGTTCCTTAAATAGATATTCTTGCAGCTTTTGATAGCAGTGTCCTTAGTTGTTGTTCTCTAAATGATTGTTTTTGTGTTTATTGTTGTTGTTACATCACCTCACGTCTAGGTGATAATTTTTATATCAGTCAGGATAGCAGGATAGTTTAGATTCTACAGCCATAATAAGAAATTCTAAAATCTCAGTCGCTTAACAAAGAGGCTTTATTTCTTACACTATGTGTTCAAAGCGGTGGGGCTCTGCTCAGAGTGCTTGTTCAGAATCCTAGTCTGAAGATGGTTTCACCTGGTACCTGCTTCTGCAATCATGCCAGTCACTGTAACATGTAACATGTTTGCAAAACTAGTCACATGCGCACGCCTTACTTAAAAGGTACAGAAAAGTGTTTGGAAGTCAAAGAACTAAAAAAGGACACCTCTGTATACTCTAAGCTATGCTATGGTAGCAATCCAAAAATCTCACTGGATTACAACCACAGTTATTTCTCAATCATATTACACGTCCACCATAAATTGGCCATGTCTCTGCTTCACACGCATAGCCTGGCTTTGACAGAGCACCCTCTTTCTAAAACATTGCTGATTGTCAAGGCAGAGAGAAAAAGAGAATGGCTTGTAATGCTTCTTCTGAGTAGTTCATGTGGCTGAGCCTGACGTCAGTGGGAGGGGCAACAAGCATTTGTGAATAGTAATGTAGCCTGCGGCGCCCTGCCCGCACTCCCTCCATTCCTCAGAGTCTCAGCCACCCCCAAGTCTGCCATCC